GGCAGGGGGCTGGGGTAGCGGGCTGGGTTCAGGGGCCTGGGGGAGTGGGCATGGGTTGGGGGGTTGGCAGGGTTCTCCCCCAGTACTTACCAGCTCAGAGTAAGGCTGCAGCTGCCTGCTGCAGCTACTATGGCCTGCCCGAATCATCGACGTTCTCTGAATCTTTTCCGAAGGTTTGGAGAGCTTTGAATTGATTCAGACCTTTAAATTGGTCCCCTGATTCAATTTGGATTCAGAGATTTGGCCACCGAATTGGGCCGAATCTCCTCCAAATAGGATCACCACCTGAAGCTTCACACAGCCCTAGTATTTATCATATTTTCCCCAAGAGCTTAGCTTTGATTTGTGGGTTTGAACATATTTAGAATCTCAAAGGATAACTCAGTGGAGTCCCATCCAGTCCTATGTTAGAAGCATGAAAAACAGCAGATGTTATGATGTTGATGCAAACGCTTAAATCAGTCCAGATTTGAATGAACCCAAACTTAAGCTAGCTTCATGTGGTTTCTAAGTTTTGCTGTATACATTTAGAGCAGTTCTGTTTATCAACTCGCACCTTGTGACTTCTACAAAGGAGAGGGGAAAATGAGTTCCATATGATGTCCTAGAATACAGAGTTCAGGATGGGGGAAATATTGCAGCTGTATTTTCTCCCTAAAAATTAGATTTGCTAAACCTCTCCTCTTTTTAACATCACGTTCCCTTGAATTCCTCCCATAATCAATCCCGTCTCTCATAAGCACTTTTAGATATGTACAAGCATTATGTTTAGATTGCCTTAAATATGGTTAGGGCAATCTAAATGACTGGATATGCAAGCATTTACAGGGTTTGAGTCACCTTAAATGATGGACCTGATCTAAGGTTAGTTCTGATCAGAGGTAAGTCCAAAAGGAGTGGTCGTTCCTTAAAGAGATGATCCTCTAAGCCCAAAGGGGGACAATCCCCACGCAGATCAAAGGGTGCAAGAGCGCTCAAAAGCTCCCATGGCTTACCAAAAGCATCCAGGAATGTCTCAAAGCCAAAAAGGAGGCGTACACCCAATGGAAGGGAGGGGCCCCCACCAAGGAGGACTATACCTCCATTGCTCGAGATTGTAGGAGGGCTGTTAGGAAGGCTAAGGCAGAGATGGTACTGGGACTAGCAACCTGGATCAAGGATAACAAGAAGTCCTTTTCTAAATATGTAGGGAGTAAAAAGAAGGCACCAAGTAACATGGGGCCTCTGCAGGACATGCTTGGTAATCTGGTGGTAGCATCAGGTGACAAAGCTAATCTCTTTAACAGTTTCTTTTCTTCCATTTTTCTGAGCAGGGACAGGGACATCATCCCCACTGGGAATCTGGACAGACCCAAAGGAGGTGCAGCCAGGCCCAGGGTCAGTGAGCACCTAGTTGGGGACCTTGACTAGACATGTTCAAATCAGAAAGTCCCGACGATCTCCAACCCAAAGTGCTGAGGGAACTGGTAGAGGTCATTGCGGGACCCTGGCACAGCTTTACGAGCACTCATGGTGCTCTGGCAAGGTGCCAGAGGACTGGAAAAGGGCCAATATGGTCCCCATTTTCAAAAGGGCATTGGTCCTTCCCTTCTAGTGTGCCTACCTCACCCCAAATCTCGGTGTTGCCTGCGAATTTAAACAGGCTGCTCTTCACCCCATCATCCAAGTCACTAAGAAAGAAATTGAACAGTGCAGGCCGAGCCCTGGTGGACCCCACTTCCCTCCAGTCAAAAATGACCCGTCCACCACCACTCTCTGAGTACGATCCCTCAGCCAATTTGCAATCCATCTGACTGTGTACGCATCAATGCTGCAGTCACCTAGCTTTTTAACAAGAATGGGGTGGGAGACAGTGTCAAAGGCCTTTCTGAAGTCCAGAAAGACTACCTCCACCGCAACACCTGCGTCCAGTGATTTTGTGTCAACCTAATCTAGTGAGTGTTATCCTGGCCTGCATGTGTTCACAGCCCAGCCACTCTCCACAGTCCTGGGGCTGTGCTGTTTTACTCCCTGTCCAGCCCCTGTCCCCTCCCCTCCACTTCAACCCCCTGAGGACTCACC